AACAGCCCTGAACCATCCGCTGCTTGGAGGAATTTCGCCATTTCTTGCCCCAGGGGTGCTGCACTCGGCGGATCGTTTTCGAGCGGCTGCTGCACTGCACGTTGTGGTCTATGTTTTTGTTTCGAATTATGAATGGTGGTGGTCAGAGACACTCTCTGTCAATGTCTGTTTGCGTGTTCACACACTGGACACCAAACAGCCCTGAACCATCCGCTGCTTGGAGGAATTTCGCGATCTCTTGCCCACAGGGGTGCTGCACTCGGCGGATCGTTTTCGAGCGGCTGCTGCACTGCACGTTGTGGTCTATGTTTTTGTTTCGAATTATGAATGGTGGTGGTCAGAGACACTCTCTGTCAATGTCTGTTTGCGTGTTCACACACTGGACACCAAACAGCCCTGAACCATCCGCTGCTTGGAGGAATTTCGCGAGATCATGCCCACAGGGGTGCTGCACTCGGCGGATCGTTTTCGAGCGGCTGCTGCACTGCACGTTGTGGTCTATGTTTTTGTTTCGAATTATGAATGGTGGTGGTCAGAGACACTCTCTGTCAATGTCTGTTTGCGTGTTCACACACTGGACACCAAACAGCCCTGAACCATCCGCTGCTTGGAGGAATTTCGCGATCTCTTGCCCACAGGGGTGCTGCACTCGGCGGATCGTTTTCGAGCGGCTGCTGCACTGCACGTTGTGGTCTATGTTTTTGTTTCGAATTATGAATGGTGGTGGTCAGAGGCACTCTCTGTCAATGTCTGTTTGCGTGTTCACACACTGGACACCAAACAGCCCTGAACTATCCGCTGCTTGGAGGAATTTCGCGATCTCTTGCCCACAGGGGTGCTGCACTCGGCGGATCGTTTTCGAGCGGCTGCTGCACTGCACGTTGTGGTCTATGTTTTTGTTTCGAATTATGAATGGTGGTGGTCAGAGGCACTCTCTTTCAATGTCTGTTTGTGTGTTCACACACTGGACACCAAACAACCCTGAATTATCCGCTGCTTGGAGGAATTTCGCGAGATCATGCCCACAGGGGTGCTGCACTCGGCGGATCGTTTTCGAGCGGCTGCTGCACCACACGTTGTGGTCTAAATTTCTGTTTCGAATTATGAATGGTGGTGGTCAGAGACACTCTCTGTCAATGTCTGTTTGCGTGTTCACACACTGGACGCCAAACAACCCTGAACCATCCGCTGCTTGGAGGAATTTCGCGAGCTCTTGCCCACAGGGGTGCTGCAGTCGGCGGATCGTTTTTGAGCGGCTGCTGCACTGCACGTTGTGGTCTATGTTTTTGTTTCGAATTATGAATGGTGGTGGTCAGAGACACTCTCTGTCAATGTCTGTTTGCGTGTTCACACACTGGACACCAAACAACCCTGAACCATCCGCTGCTTGGAGGAATTTCGCGAGATCATGCCCACAGGGGTGCTGCAGTCGGCGGATCGTTTTCGAGCGGCTGCTGCACTGCACGTTGTGGTCTAAATTTCTGTTTCGAATTATGAATGGTGGTGGTCAGAGACACTCTCTGTCAATGTCTGTTTGCGTGTTCACACACTGGACACCAAACAACCCTGGATTATCCGCTGCTTGGAGGAATTTCGCGAGCTCTTGCCCACAGGGGTGCTGCAGTCGGCGGATCGTTTTCGAGCGGCTGCTGCACCACACGTTGTGGTCTAAATTTCTGTTTCGAATTATGAATGGTGGTGGTCAGAGACACTCTCTGTCAATGTCTGTTTGCGTGTTCACACACTGGACACCAAACAACCCTGGATTATCCGCTGCTTGGAGGAATTTCGCGAGATCTTGCCCACAGGGGTGCTGCACTCGGCGGATCGTTTTCGAGCGGCTGCACTGCACGTTGTGGTCTATGTTCTTGTTTCGAATTATGAATGGTGGGAGTCAGAGACACTCTCTGTCAATGTCTGTTTGCGTGTTCACACACTGGACACCAAACAGCCCTGAATTATCCGCTGCTTGGAGGAATTTCGCGAGCTCTTGCCCACAGGGGTGCTGCACTCGGCGGATCGTTTTTGAGCGGCTGCTGCACCACACGTTGTGGTCTAAATTTCTGTTTCGAATTATGAATGGTGGTGGTCAGAGACACTCTCTGTCAATGTCTGTTTGCGTGTTCACACACTGGACACCAAACAACCCTGGATTATCCGCTGCTTGGAGGAATTTCGCGAGATCATGCCCACAGGGGTGCTGCACTCGGCGGATCGTTTTCGAGTGGCTGCTGCACTGCACGTTGTGGTCTAAATTTCTGTTTCGAATTATGAATGGTGGGAGTCAGAGACACTCTCTGTCAATGTCTGTTTGCGTGTTCACACACTGGACACCAAACAACCCTGGATTATCCGCTGCTTGGAGGAATTTCGCGAGCTCTTGCCCACAGGGGTGCTGCAGTCGGCGGATCGTTTTCGAGCGGCTGCTGCACCACACGCTGTGGTCTATGTTTTTGTTTCGAATTATGAATGGTGGTGGTCAGAGACACTCTCTGTCAATGTCTGTTTGCGTGTTCACACACTGGACACCAAACAACCCTGGATTATCCGCTGCTTGGAGGAATTTCGCGAGATCTTGCCCACAGGGGTGCTGCAGTCGGCGGATCGTTTTCGAGCGGCTGCTGCACCACACGCTGTGGTCTAAATTTTTGTTTCGAATTATGAATGATGGTGGGAGTCAGAGACACTCTCTGTCAATGTCTGTTTGCGTGTTCACACACTGGACACCAAACAACCCTGGATTATCCGCTGCTTGGAGGAATTTCGCGAGATCATGCCCACAGGGGTGCTGCACTCGGCGGATCGTTTTCGAGCGGCTGCTGCACTGCACGTTGTGGTCTAAATTTCTGTTTCGAATTATGAATGGTGGTGGTCAGAGACACTCTCTGTCAATGTCTGTTTGCGTGTTCACACACTGGACAACAAACAACCCTGAATTATCCGCTGCTTGGAGGAATTTCGCGAGATCATGCCCACAGGGGTGCTGCACTCGGCGGATCGTTTTCGAGCGGCTGCTGCACCACACGTTGTGGTCTAAATTTCTGTTTCGAATTATGAATGGTGGGAGTCAGAGACACTCTCTGTCAATGTCTGTTTGCGTGTTCACACACTGGACACCAAACAACCCTGGATTATCCGCTGCTTGGAGGAATTTCGCGAGATTATGCCCACAGGGGTGCTGCACTCGGCGGATCGTTTTCGAGCGGCTGCTGCACCACACGTTGTGGTCTAAATTTCTGTTTCGAATTATGAATGGTGGGAGTCAGAGACACTCTCTGTCAATGTCTGTTTGCGTGTTCACACACTGGACACCAAACAACCCTGGATTATCCGCTGCTTGGAGGAATTTCGCGAGATCTTGCCCACAGGGGTGCTGCACTCGGCGGATCGTTTTTGAGCGGCTGCTGCACCACACGTTGTGGTCTATGTTTTTGTTTCGAATTATGAATGGTGGTGGTCAGAGACACTCTCTGTCAATGTCTGTTTGTGTGTTCACACACTGGACACCAAACAGCCCTGAATTATCCGCTGCTTGGAGGAATTTCGCGAGATTATGCCCACAGGGGTGCTGCACTCGGCGGATCGTTTTCGAGCGGCTGCTGCACCACACGTTGTGGTCTAAATTTCTGTTTCGAATTATGAATGGTGGGAGTCAGAGACACTCTCTGTCAATGTCTGTTTGCGTGTTCACACACTGGACACCAAACAACCCTGGATTATCCGCTGCTTGGAGGAATTTCGCGAGATCATGCCCACAGGGGTGCTGCACTCGGCGGATCGTTTTCGAGCGGCTGCTGCACCAAACGCTGTGGTCTATGTTTTTGTTTCGAATTATGAATGGTGGTGGTCAGAGACACTCTCTGTCAATGTCTGTTTGTGTGTTCACACACTGGACACCAAACAGCCCTGAATTATCCGCTGCTTGGAGGAATTTCGCGAGATCATGCCCACAGGGGTGCTGCAGTCGGCGGATCGTTTTCGAGCGGCTGCTGCACTGCACGTTGTGGTCTAAATTTCTGTTTCGAATTATGAATGGTGGTCGTCAGAGGCACTCTCTGTCAATGTCTGTTTGCGTGTTCACACACTGGACACCAAACAACCCTGAACCATCCGCTGCTTGGAGGAATTTCGCGAGATCATGCCCACAGGGGTGCTGCAGTCGGCGGATCGTTTTTGAGCGGCTGCTGCACCACACGTTGTGGTCTAAATTTCTGTTTCGAATTATGAATGGTGGTGGTCAGAGACACTCTCTGTCAATGTCTGTTTGCGTGTTCACACACTGGACACCAAACAACCCTGAACCATCCGCTGCTTGGAGGAATTTCGCGAGATCATGCCCATAACGGTGCTGTAGTTAGCGTGTCGTTTTCGATTTCCGGTGCGCATACCAATGCTGGAAATAGGACAACGAGCAGGTTAATCTTGCTTTTGACAATTTGTTCGAGTGGATCGGCGTGGTGGAATGCCACAGGATCCCACCGATCGAATGATGAATTTGGGGAGGTCCCTACTGAATACATTCCGGATGCAGCTCACGATGGCATCCGATCCCGGCATCCGGCTTTCCAAACTGCGCGCCCGTCTTTACACCGCTGTTCATCAGACGGACGCTTATGCGCGGGCGGCCCAGCTTTTCGTCGATCGGCGAGAAACCCAACGCACTGTGCGATGCCAACGTTGTCATACCTATGGGCACAAGGCGTCTACATGCAATGTGCGTTCGAGAGGGAATTACTTACAATACAGGCGTCCATCAAAAAACGGCAGAAGGGCTGCCGCACGCCGCTCATGAATGCTGACGACGGGAGCTCCATCCAACCCGCCACCTCCCACCAATCCTCACAGGCAGCGCACCGCGCCGCCGACGCTCCACCCGATCTTTCAAATTGCCCGACGAAATCGTCGGGAAGGGCGATGGAGCTTATCTTTCAACGACGCTCGACTGTAGTACAACGAAACACCGGCGGCTCCGCTTTGGGCCAGTTATATGAGGAGAGCAAACGAGGTGGCTCGAGAGATGTGCGCGCCGTGAGCGTGGGAGCGTGGAATGTCCCTCGCGGGGCAATTCACAACCTTTTGCCGCACGCACGAACAGCCGATGAACGAGGAGAGTTGTGCGGTCTTTTTGATGGCAATCGAAGTCGCGCCATCGACCCGACAGCAGTACGCCAGGATGCTGCGGTCCATGTTGGAAATGAATCGAACCCCACTGGACATGGTGATTCTGGGGTTACAAAAAATAGCGTCGCGATCGGAAACGAAGCAGACACGCCCCTCGACAAAGGAAAGAGGTGGACGAATGTATCCGCAGCCGGACCGATTGGAAGGAACGTGTTGTCTTACGACTTGCGTGGATAACGGCGAGCTGTTGGTCCGAGGTTTCGGCCTTGACTTCCAACAATTTCACACTGGAGTCGGACGGGGCCTTAGTTTTGGATTGGCCCGTGGCGCCGAGGACGGCGAGGGCGGATCCATACCTCGCCTTGCGGTTCGTGAGGATACGAGGGCAGGACGCCTTCGACAATATAAAGCTATGCAGGACACTTCAAGAAAACGGAAAGCTTACGAAGCTTACGACTGCACAGGTGACACGATCTCTGGCTCCTTGGGATGCCACGGCGCATTCCATAAAACGGGGAGCGTTGAGGCACGCTGCTCCAATCGTGGAGACATGCGATTTGGACCCGCACGTGGTCTCGCAGTTGGCGAAGCACGTCGACCCGTTCGACCTTCCCCAGAATACTGTTCGATATTTGGGGAGATACACCACAATGCTGACCCAGGTGTCGTCATTGATCGCATTGATGTGAAGGGAGAAACGGCGGAAGGGCAGGAACTCTGGCTAAGAGCGGAGGAGCGTTTTTTCCATGATTTTAATCACAATCATGCTGCTACAATAACGAGACGCGCGACAAGGACGCGTCCGACCACTCCACAAAATGAACACGCCATCCCGTTACAGCAGGTCAACGTGCCCGTGTTGAATCTGGAGTGGATCCAGATCCGGTTGAACCCGGCTACCTTGGAGAGGCTCATGCAAGTTTGGGGACTCGTCGGGCGGTCCCCTTTCCCTCTGTCTTCCTCCGGTAAAGCGCGCGAAGGCTCACGGAGTATTCCAACCGCTGACGCGCGATTGTTGAATGCAGCGGGAATAATCGAGGACGCTTCGTCCACAATAACAGGCGGATGGATAATACCCTTTTTCGGTTGTGGAGGAGAAAACCACCGGTTTACGACGACGATGGATCGCGTGGCCACGCGGCAAGAACAGAGACGAGCCTTATGAGGCGAATGTTCCTCTTTTACACATTTCTAATTATTTGCCACCTGTGATGGCTGAGGCCGCTTCCTGCCTGGACTTTAAGGCATCCTTTTTTCAAGTCCCTTCACCGCGGGAGACTCGGCATCTCTTTCGATGCCGCGTGGAGGACGGCACGCTGGTGGAGCTGACACGGCTCCCAATGGGATACAAAGCCAGCCCAGAAATTCTCCAGATTATTACTTCGGCAATTGCGGTGGTGACGACGGTGGTTCACCGCCTCTGGGCCGCACCTCCGTCGGTGTGCGACGACGTATGGATCGATAATATGCGCATTGCAGAGTCGAAAAGCGACGCGACATTGTGGGAAGCCCAAGTGCTTCGTAATGCGGACAGTTGTCACGCCACGATAGGGAAGAACGCGAATCGGGCGCCACGCAATACACCTTCCTGTGGTGCAGTTTGATCACACACTCCAGACGGTATCACTGAGTGACAGGTTTGTCCGCTCTGTACGCGCCATGCCGGCGATGAATTCTTTGACCATCGCGGAAATGGAGGTTGTGGCGTCACGCTTTTTGTACGCGACGGCCATTTTTGGCACGCGTTTATATGACTACTACTTTTTCATCAAGGCAGTGCGACGACGATTATCCGCACTTAACCGGGGGATTGTGCTGGAGACATCCCCGGCGAACGTTCCGCCGTCAGCGGTTGGTTTGGGCGAGAGATTACGACACAGCATCGAGAACAATCGCAAGCGAATCATCGAGCCCACGGAAAAGGCATCGGCTGCCATCATCACGGATGCATCGCTCCATGGATGGGGAGCCGTTTTTATTCCAGACTTCGGCGACGTTAAAATTGCCGGGGGAAATGGGAGAGGAAGCCTTTTCTTATCATGCAGGCCGAGGCATGCGCGGTACGCTTAGCCTTATCGGCCTTTTCCGCCATCTTGCCATCCACCACTAACGTTTGGGTGGATAACGCTTCGCTGCAAGGAGCTGCGAATAAAGGCAGCTCAAAATCACACGCCTTGACGTGGGAGCTGCAACGGATATATGAGTTTTTGGACTCTCGCGGAATACAGGCAACTTTTGTCTACGTGCGGTCTGCAGAAAACCTCGCAGACGGCATATCACGCGGTCGTGTTTTTACACTTCAGGACTTGGCGAAGGGGTGGAACTTGTGAGGGGGAGCGGCGGGGTCTTGTGGCTGGAGGACCCCAAAGTCTGCCACTTCGTAAGTAACAATATGTAAATCCTAACTGAGGACAAAGGACCATGCTAATGGTCCACAGAATTCTATATACTGAATGAAAAGAAAACATTGAAGCAATTAACTAACGAACCTTTTTCCCTGACTTGTTTGGTTTCCATAGATTGTCAGGATCCGGCCAGCTGCCCGGAAGATTATTGACACAAAATCTGGCGGGACAACTGCGCCGCAAGTTAATGCTGAGCCGTCACGTCAGAACGAGGATTGGCGACAGTCTGCGGCGGCTGACGGACCCAACACCGTCGATCCGAGTCCCGCATCCAACACGGCGACCAACACGTCCGAGACGAGGCCTGAGTTTGCTTACGTTTAAAATATCAATGTGGCTCCGACACCATCCGAAAGAAGGCCCACGCCTGTCACCGAGCCGAAGGGGAATCCCATTGATGATGCGATGAGTGGTTCAATAAATGCTGAGTTGCCGCAGGGAGTCGATCTATTTGTGGCGCAGACGACGCTGGTGCAGCCGAAGGATGGGATTGCTCCAGTTACGGCGAGGGATTCATTTGCTTCATTCTCTCTCGTCAGTGCTGGTGGAGTAATTTCTGCTTTCTTTGAAGGTTGCACGGATGCCGAATATCAACTTGGTCAGTTAATTATGCCCTTTTCTTCTGATGTGGTTGCGGGGTGCATCGACTCTGCGTGGGATTGGTCCACTGTTGTTGGCGAGGTCAATAAAAGATACATGGAGGGCACACACTGTGCTTGGGGCAGCGGAGGGAAAGGAGAGTTTGGGTGTTGTGCTCCGCCCCACAACAATCACGAAGGGCAACGGAGTGTTTCCTCTTGCGGGAGGCTCTGATGTGTCCTACGAAGGTGGGTGCTGGAGAGAGGGCGGCTTGGAGCCGAAACTGTTTGTGGGTGATGTCGCGAATCCCACGGGTGGCAAGCGGAGTGGACGGATCGAATGGGGCGACCCCAAACCACTCCCGAAACGGATCTCTTCTGCTTCTCACGAAGGTGAGTGGACGGAGTTCATTGCTTCCGGTGGCTCAGGTGTTGTGATGGAGGATGGCACGCTTGTGTTTCCTCTGACGGCGAAGGATGAAGCAGAAGACTTTTGCTCCATGATCGTGTATTTGACGGACAACGGCAGTATCTGGACGCTCTCTGAGGACATTTCCCCTGCGCAATGCCTTAACCCCTGCGTCACCGGATGGGAGGGATCACTTCTCATGAGTGTTGACTGCGAGAATGGCCAGAGGGTGTAGGAGTCGCGTGACATGGGGACAGCGTGGACGGAGGCCATCGGGACACTCTCAGGCGTGTGGGCCAACGCCCGATCAGGAGTCTCAGAAGGAAAGCCTGCGTGTGGATGCCCTCATCACCGTGACCATTGAGGAAAGGGAGGTCATGCTGTACACTCAGAGAGGGCACGCCTCGGGGAAGAAAAGGGCCACTGCGCTCCGCCTTTGGGTCACGGACAGCAACCGCACGCTTTCTGCTGGACCGGTTGTCGTGGGCAATGCTGCGAATTGGACGCTCGCCAGCAACCTGCTGTACTCGGATGGGAGTTTGCATCTTTTACAACGGAGGGGCAACGGTGAATGCCGTGTCATCTCACTTTTCAGCCTGATGGAGGAACTGAGTGCGGTCAGGTCCGTCCTCAGTACTTTGGCGCAAAAGGACATTTTCTTCAGCTTATCTATACCCACGGCGGGGCTGGTGGCAGTTTTGTCCGGTGCTTCCAGTGATGACAAGTGGAACGACGAGTACCTTTGCTTGAATGCAACGGTGACAAGTGCAGTGAAGGACAACGATGGGTTACGAGTGACGGGAGTTGAGTCCAGGGAAATATGGCCCGTGAACACTCGGGGTGATGAAGTGCGTCATGTATCTTTGAGCCGCGACCTCACACTTGTGGTGTCGGTGACCATCGAAGTGACTCCGAGTGGGAGCACTCCTCCACTGACCGCGATTTTGGCGGACACTGAGTCCAATCATACCGTGGAACTGTCGTACAGCCACAAGAAGAAGTGGGAGACGACGTTCGAAGGCAAGACAACAACACGGAGCAGCACTTGGGAGCCGAAGGAAGAATGCCAAGTGGCACTCATGCTGCAAGGCAACAAGGCCTCTGTGGACGTTGATGGTGAGTTGCTGGGGGAGGAAGAGGTGCCGTTAACAGGCCAGAGGCCACCTGAGGTCCTGAGGTTTTGCTTTGGGGAGTGCGGTGGGCACGAATCTCATGTGACGGTGAAGAACGTTTTTCTGTACAGCCGCCTACTGAATTTCACTGCGATGCGTGCACTCAAGGACAGGGTCCCCGTTCCGACGAGAGAAGTGGCTCCGACACCACCCGAGAAGATTTGAGTAGTTGACGGCGTCAGAGCGCACATTGCTGAGGATATTACCGGAGAGAAATGAATGGGCACAACGCATTGCCACTGGACATGAATCCCCATTACAAATAGTCACCTCGCAGTGTCTGGAGCGGCGTGAGTCCCGACGACCGCCTCGCCCTCTCCCAACGACGTGAAATTGATACTGCGTGACTTGAGCGGCAACAATACCGTGCGTGTTTGTGTCTTGTCTTGTGTGTTGCTGCTTCTGGGATTGTGTTTGGGGGGTGGCAGTCTTCTGAGCCACAGAGTGTGGATTTGCGACTCCTCACGGAGAATACGTGCCGCTTTCCTCGCTCTTTTTTATGCCGCCGTTTTTATTAATTTTTTAATGTTTTGCTGTTTGTTGATTCTTTCAATGTTTTTGCTTTTCAATGTTGCCTTTG